TACCAAGAGCCGCAGCAGACGTGGATTCCTGGAGCTCCCTTCGCAGACTGGAAGGGCGCGCTAAACCAGGCGACAGCAAAGGGAAAGGGAAAGGAAAAGGGCGAGATCTCGGTGCCTTCTAGGCGAGACAGAGTGCTTTGATTCGTTGCTATAGGCCATTTGGGGCCATTCGGAGTTTCCCAAAGATGTTGAAGGGAGTTTCGGGAGGGTAGCAGCTGTGTTGGTGTGCAGGAGGCGAGCCAGATTCGAGTCCACTTAGCACCTTAGAAAGCAACAGGCGTTTCAGAGCCTACAGCTTTCGAGGGTCAAAGCTCTCTTCATCTTCCTGCTTGTCTCTGATGAAGGGAGGGTCAATTCTCCATAGTTTATAACCTGGAAATTTTGTTAATTTTGTCGGTCTTTAAGGTGCTACTGGACTCAGATCTTTAAAGGGGAGGATCAGCCATTCTGTTTTTAAAACATCAGCCTCGGAGCTCCTCTGTTGGGGGGACCTGGGTTTGAATTCCGGATCTGGCCATGAAATTCATAGCTGACTTTGAGCCAGTTTGGTGTAGTGGTTAAGTGTGTGGACTCTAATCTGGGAGAACCGGGTTTGATTCCCCATTCCTCCACCTGCATCTGCTGGATGACCTTGGGCAAGCCATAGTTCTGGCACTGCTGTTCTTGAAAAAGAGCAGTTTCTGTCAGAGCTCTTTCAGCCCCACCTGCCTCACATCGTGTCTGTTGTGGGGAGGGGAAGGGAAAGGAGTTTGTAAACCACTCTGAGACTCCCTTGGGTAGCGAAGGGCAGGCTATAAATCCAATCTCTCCTCCTCCTCCTCCTCCTCCTTCTCCTCCTTCTCTCTTTCTCTCCTTCTCTCTTTCTTTCTCTCTCTCTCTCTCTCTCTCTGCCTACTAACCTCACAGGCATACAAGGTAAGATCACCTCCTCAAGGTACACCAGTGTGAACCCCTTGGCCCAATCTGCATCTAGCATGTGCTCTGCTGTTTTACCAAACCCCCACTGGAACAGAAAAAGATGTGGCTCAAAACCACATTCAAATACTCCAGGCCAACGCTGTACTGACTGCAGAGTCACCCCTGAATGGCCATAAAGCAGCCATAAATCCATGCAGACGGCTACCATAAAACCGAGAGATCAAATGAAGTGAAAGCGGCACACAGTCTGGACACTGCCATAAAATCCAACAATCAACCAAAGTGAAGGTGGCATGCAATGTAGAGGGGGGGTTTCTGTTCCAGCCTGGGTTTGGTAAGACTGCGGAGCAAATTCTAGATGCAGATTGACCCCTCAAAGGAACTGTAATCCATAAATGATGAATGGAATAAAACAAACCATTTGTGTGAATGGCTAGCAACATCACAGCTCCAGCTACAGTCTTGCTATGCTCAAGGCCTCTCTTTTGAAAAGTCCGCTTCTCCCATGCTCATGGGCATAGACCACTTGCATGATCAGATCTTTTGATGGGAAAACCAGGGGAAGCCAGGCCTGCTCCGGGGCTGAAAGAATGGTTGGAAGGGCAATTCTGTTCCTTTTGCATTCTAAAAGGCCTGGATTCTCTGTTTCCATGGGTCTCTGCAGGGGGACTAATGGGCGGCGGGGGGGGTCTGTCTCCCATGGAATCCTCAATTTACTGATCTGCATAAAACCATCTGCAGGCCCACTTAACAGACCTTAGCATACAGATAATAAAAGAGCTAACAGATGCGAGAACTAAGGTTGTTATTAACTTTTAAGGTAAAGGTAAAGGTTCCCTTGCTTGAAAGCCAGTCGAATCCGACCCTAGGGTTGCGGTGCTCATCTCCGTTTCAAAGCCGAAGAGCCAGCGCTGTCCGAAGACGTTTCTGTGATCATGTGGCCGGCATGACTAAACACCAAGGCACACGGAACGCTGTTACCTTCCCACCGAAGTGGTACCTATTTATCTACTTGCAATTTCTTGCTTTCGAACTGCTAGGTTGGCAGGAGCTGGAACTAGAGACGGGAGCTCACTCCGTCATGCGGCACATTCGGGTCTCGAACTGCTGAACTACCGACCTTCCACAGCCTGCAGTTCAGCGTCTTAACCACTTGAGCCAGCGAAGCTCCTTGTTAACTTTTATGTGTATGCTAATTTGCTACTATTCAAAGGTCTTACCAACTGCTTTAATCCAATCTCACGCATACTTATTACCCAGTTACTTATGCATCTTGACTGTAACTAGCCCTTTCTGGCAACTACCCTCCCCACACCCCTATACATATGGCTTGAAGAAGTCTGTGTCAATGCATCTGAAGAAGTGTGCCTGCACACAAAACCTTATACCCAGAATTAAACTTTGTTGGTCTTAAGGGTGCCACTGGACTCAAACTTTGTTTGAGTCAAACTTTGCTTTGCAAACTTGGCTTCAGACCAATGTGGACTCAAACTTTGCTTCAGACCAGCATGGCGACCCGCCTGAATCTGTCTTCTCCCAAAGTTCTCCCCTTCTTTGAGAGATGAAAGGCATTAGCGAGTCGTTCAAGAGAAGGCACAATGACTCTTTTCATATTAATGTTTTGTCATTGGGCACAGAATTACAATCCACGCGATTCTTGGTGAATCATCGTGGTTCTGTCTGGTAGCTGTCCCACTGAGGAATAATGGCAGATCATTGGCATGGAGGTTAGTTCAAGCCTTTCCTTTCAAGAACCATCAAATCTTAAACTATGCTTCATCACTGCAGATCTGGTTGGGGTTCGCGCTTC